TATGCCTTTGTTGATTTTATTTACAGTAAAATCCATATTTTCAGTATATTGAATATACTGTAAATCTCTTAATGAATTAAACTGACACCATTTAAAATAAAATATACAAATGTACTGTAAAATTGTGTAAATATTAATAATATTCACCCTGAATTCACCCAGGAGTTTACGGCAGTGAAGGAGCAGTCGGATGCGATGGGCAGAGTCATCTATTAGTAAGACCGTAAGACCGCTCCCCCAGCCGAACCATCCACACCCACTACTCCTTGCCAAGGCCGCCCACCTGCGTCCAGCACCCCGCCCCAGGGCACCATTTATTCCAGTAAACAGACCACGAAGCGTCCCTGAGACGGGCCATCCGGGGAAGAGGGAACTTGCTCTTTCCCTGGCGGAGGGCCAGGCTCCACATCAAATAACATCAAAAGTGTTTTTCAACAACCAAAAACTCAAAGAAAGAGCATTTTCCTCTTCCCCGAATGTGACAGCCCGAACACTGCCAGTCGGGGACTCTATGCCTTTCAGCTCACAGGATCAGTGCATCTCGCCAATGGCTTGTGGAGTGCAGGAGAACGATCTCCCTTCTCCCACACTCTCAGCCCCTCCTCCGGAGTCTGGGTGCAAGAAGAGAGTGAATATCTTGCCTCCTGCTCTCCTTTGGGACCCCAGCGCTGCCTGGTTGAACCCCATCCACTCCGTGCTGCCCAACCGCTGGTATGCCACGATCATGCGGATGGTCACCTTCAGCCCTTGGAGGGACCCCACGTTCCTTCAGGCCGGATTGCCTCTAGGAAAGGAGTCCAGGCATATCGCTGTCTTGACGAGTCTTTTGGAGTCATATGCGGCTGAAGTCGATGCATGCCGTTCATATCCTGGGTGAGCTCAAGCCCAGGTTGACCTGTTTGCTGCGTTTGAGAATGCCCATTGCCAGTGGTTCTTTTTTCCTGACCGAGGACTCCCTCGGCACGGATGCACTGGCCCACAGCTGGCCTCAGGGCATGCGCAAATATGCATGGCGAACTTGCCAGATCAGCGTTGTGCTTTCTTTTATTCAGGATAGGTTGGAGCGGAGTCTGTTGCCCTTTACACTGAAGGTTTACGTGGCTGCCATCTCAAGTTTTATAATCTTAGAGTGTAGCCGATTTTCCTCAAGGGTGTTGGGAAACCCCAATGAATGAAGTTAGGTGTTGTAACATGCTTGCTGCGTCTTTCTCTCTAACACAGAAATACGTGAGCTTTCTCGCTTCGTCAGTTGAGTTCCCGACTTGGCGAACCCTGCAGAGTTCCTACGAGGCTTCCAGCATCTGACTCAGTGTAGGAGTCATGTGTTGGCCCTTTACATTGTTTGTATGCCCCTTGGTCATCCCGCTATCTGGGTATGGATGCCTGCTATGTGCCTACCCCATTTGCTCACTCAGCTCACTCAGCCACAATGTAGTCCCCCCCCCCCCTAGGCAAGCTTATGTCTTCCCACCCTGCTAACCATCTTCTCGTATGCGTACTCCCCCTTTTTACGGCTAGTCCATATGCTTTTTTGCCACCAGGTCTCCCCATTAGGGCAGCAGGTGGCCTCCACAGCGTTCTTTCTGTCGGTACTGCATGCTTTCCCAACTTAATGTCATATTTAAAATTTCTAGAATTAACTAGGTGTATTTTTACGACTCCCTGAAATATATATCTAAACCAGGAACGGGTAAGTAAGGGCAAGGAGACACGCTGGAATGCTGCACCTCTGGTCTTGCAGGTGCACTCACGCTGCAGCTTGGCGTGCCCCTCACCAGAGACATGGTAAGGTTCTTTCGTTGTAGCGTCTTCCATAGATTTCTCCATAGTGAAAGTTTCCACATAGCATTGAAGTTCCTCTCTTAATATTAATATTAAGAAAGTTTTAGAGTTAATTTGTATACTTAATCTCAAATGGTGTAAGAGTTTCATTCATTTATGTGTTGACAGTGTATTCGATATACTAAAAATAAGGATTCAGTACAGTATAAAAAATCAAAAAAGGCATAACTGTAAAAAAACAAAGCTTCAGCATCCTAGACAATAACGTTTAGATAGTTGTAGAGTTGATTTGTATAATTTATCTCAAATGGTGTCAAAGTTTACTTCGTTTAAGTGTTTAAAGTGTATCTGATATACTAAAAAATATGGATTCAGTACTGTAAATAAAATCAACAATGCCGTAACTGTGAAAAACAAAGCTAGTGCAACATAGACAATAATATTTAGACTATGCATAACTGCATGCATAAGTTAATGCATAACTGTAAAAAAAAAACAAAGCTTGCGCATCATAGAGGATAATATTCTGACACTTTTACAGTTGATTTGAATATTTTATCCGAAATGGTGTGAGAGTTTAATTCAATAATAGATTTACAGTATATCCGATATACATAAAATATGGATTCATTACTGTATATAAAATCATATATAATATATATATATAATAATATATAACATTTAGAGATAAGTACAGTTGATTTGAATATTTTATCTCAAATGGTGTGAGAGTTTAATTTATTAGGAGATTTACAGTGTATTTGAATTAATAAAAATATGGATTCATTACAGTATATGAAATCAACAAAGCATTACTGTGAAAAACAAAGCTTGTGCATATTAGAGAATAATATTCCGACACTTTTAGAGTTGATTTAAATATTTTATCTCAAAAAGTGTCAGAGTTAAATTGAATTTTGCAATTTTTACATTAAAATATATTGAAAAAATATTATAAAACAAATAGAGTGCTAAATCTTGTGCAACATGCAGGATGTTTTTCTGAATATTCTGCTACTAGTTTTAATGTATAATTCCATACGGGTGAATTGTTTAATTCATTCTTATGGTGATTTTTTTTTTTTTAATCGAGAAATTAAGGCTTGTGCAACATAAAGGGCACATATTTATGCCTGTCTGACCTATTTTTGGCCGAAAGTATAGTAGGAACAAAGAGTTTAATTGATTTGAAAATCGAATGTCTAATGAATGTCAAAAATCAAACTAACCGCGGTCTGATAACATTGTATTTACTATGATGTAGGCTATTGTATGTATTGTACTGTAAGTGTGTATCGTAGCCTACTGTTATTTATTTATTTTTTAATATTGTTAAACTTGTTACAACTTTTTGCCCAGGGTACAGATATAAATTAGCTTTATAGCTAACTCTGGCACAACATATCACGTTGTACATTGTCCCTGTATAAATAAATAAAAATAACTTCGACCAAAGTTGGAACATTGTTAGAACTGATTTTATCTGAGTGTGTGTAAAAGAGGAGTACCAAAATAGGTAACATACCATCAGCGATCATCAGAAGCACAGACATCCAAACACAGTCGGGTGGATGCATCTTCAAACTGCCTTTGCAATATATAACAAAATCATCCTATATTCTTAACTTATAAATTAGCAAAGATCGTTGTTTCGACGACGTATCTTTTTAATGTCCGTAGATCAAATTTACTTTCACTTGTACGTTGCTTTTACTTTTAATTTGAGGCTAACTAGCAGTGACTGACACCTACCTCTCTCTGCTGGTGCAAATGAAGACATTAGCCTACACGCAGTTAAAGGGATAGTTCACCCCAAATGTATCATTACAGGTCTCCAGATGCAGAACACCTTTTTTCTTCAGTGCAGTGCAATATTAAAGACGATTATTCACATGGACGTTGCTAGGCCTATTTTAGGGTGCTGTAGCCACCCTTAAACATTTGCGAGCTCATAAACTGTACACTAAATAATTGCCTCAGTCCCCATTAAATTTGAAAAGAAAATGGCGGCAGAACTCGGCTCCTCCCACTCTGTTTTTCATTTGATCAGCAAACCACAGCCGTGGACAGTGAGAGAACGAGGTGTGTGTTTATTGATTAATTGTTTTAATATCTGCTTATTTGCAGTTCTTTGAGATAAGCTTGTATCACCTGTATGTCAGGGAGGAGCAGTCGGGTTTTCTCTGCATTCACCTCATCAGCACAGCTGAAATTTAACTCTTAACAAACATTTTGCTATTTTTATTTCAAAATGAACTAATATTAAACACTTTACAGTTCGTGTGGCATTAATACCATACAGTCTTGCACAGAAATGATTAAACACAGTGACAGAAGCATTTAGAGAATGTACTCGTTATAAATGTCACTGAGTCACTGACAGAGATAGAAGCATCTCTGAGATTAGATGAGAACAAAAAAAATGCACTTGGATATAGAAAGTAGTTTTTACTACAGTAAACAGGTGGGTTGAGCCTATTTGGCAAACTCAGAGCTTAAATGGCTGTGCCTGTCCATGTAATACAGTGGAATACTAGTATACAACCCTACTATATTGAACATTTTAAGTGTATTACTATTAAATTACTACTTAAAAATGTAATACAGTATTGGGCTTTATACCTTATATGGAGCTGAGCCCCCCTCAAAAGGAAAGTCCTAAAATCGCCCCTGATTATTCATATAATGGCAGTGAGTTTTTCTAATTGAAAAGAAATAAGTCTGAATCAATAACCTTGGTTTCTTATGATACACTGAGGTCTTATTAGCTGAAACGATCGGCCCGTGTTAGAAATTGAACATTATTTTAAATATTATTTAATCCATGTGCAGCCTCGTCAAACACATATCCGCCATTTGCAAATGAAGTCAGTTTGTAATCCTATCTCTCCTATGAGGAAAGGGCTATATCAGGGTCATGGGTGTGTCTTCAGAGTGCAAAGAAACGGTGACGAAAACTTTCTTACCATGTATCTAATGGATTGTTAAACAGTAGGCTATATGGTAATACTGTGTATTATAGAAATATAAAAATAGCAAACACTTTTAACTCCATTACAAATGTAAAACTGTTATGTCTTTTTCTTCATCTTGTTACACAATGCTTTATTCAATTTCCACATGATAAAGAAAGATTGAAGCTGCCTTCTGGAGAATTAAATATCAATTTCAGTGGTTCTGATAGTTAAGTGACCCAGAACAGATTCTTGATCCATCAGTTTAAGCAATACGAATGTTGTGGTCACTTTATTTCGATACAAGTAGAAAAATAAAAATAAATTCTGGCAAAAATTATTTTGTCTGCAATATCTCTGCAAAACTTTTTTGGAGCTGTACTTACACACTATATATTTGCTGTATACAAAAACAAACAAAATCTAACACCAACACCTTAAACGTATACAGTAGAAAACCATATGCATAACAAATACATTTAGTTACTTAGTTAACACTTTATTTGTGCGCTAGGGGCAGTTCAATTCATGGTGCATTCAAGTGATCTACAGTAAAAAAAACAACACTGAAGTTTGTTTGATCAGAGTTCCTGAGTGTTTGAGTAAGCATTCAATGTTGGATGAAGAGCCTTTTCTCTTGAATCCAGCTGAATCATTTGTCCTGATTCAGTCGAGGTTTGATCCACTGGCTGGACTTTCATCAGATCCTGCTGCATCTGGGTTCAAAATAATACAGATGTTTTAAACTATTATCATTATTCTGCATTATTATGAAAAAATGTGCAGTACTTCTATAAGCAACCTTTTGTGTGTGTGTGTGTGTTAACTTCAAAATCTTAGATCAATAAAACCAACTAAAAATAATTGGTTCTGGTTTGACCAGGTGACTGAAAACCAGGTTTGTTGTAAAACCAAGCATCACTCCATCCTTCTTTGTTACACACGATTGCCTGCTTGTAGCTACACAAATCAAAGCAAGCAAGCAAACAAACAAACAAACAAAGGTACTTTTTTATAATGACAAATAATTAAACCATTTCAACCTAGATTTCGGTGTAAATCTACAGGAGTTCAGACTTTGACTTGTATTATATAATGCAATTATATACTATATTCTTGAGTTTCTTTTATTATAATCCATTAAACTGTCATTTGTATGGATTTTATTTGTATGGGCTTAAGGCCAAAACTACTTGACCAACACAGCTGATGACAAACATGTCCAGTTTCACTATTGCCTTACCTTCTGAAGAGACAGCAATTTCTTTTACATTAGTTGGTTGAAATAGTCCTATTTGATTATTTTTCTTTCCCATCCACCAACTATTTTCATCCTACAAGACAAACAGAATGAACAACATTTATTTGCATTAGAATAGAAACAGAATATTGTTGCAAGTTTAACATCAAATTTGAAAACAAACATTTCTGACTCTCTCTATGACAGATTTAAAATTGAATGAACCATTTTGTTAATGTTTAAACAGATGATAGATTAAAAGAAGTAAAAAGTAAAACACTGAATAAATACCTTTGCAAGAATCTCTATGGTTTCTCCCTTAACTAGCTTCAGCTTGTCGTCTTCTTCAGGAGTGTAGTCACACAACACCACACATTTCCACATCTCTTTCTTTGGTTTCATCACTGCAGCAATGAAGTAAAAGTGGAAAACCATGCAGACTTATTAATGATTTGTGGGAATGGATTTTAAAAGAACTTTGCTGTTTTTTTTCCAGACTACACTGAGAAAGCGTAGCTAAATCTCTGTCAGCATTCATGACAAATAAATAAACACAATGTTAGATAAGAAGGTTTTTTTTATCGTTGATTTTTTTTTATGTGTTGATAATGTTCATGTTTCTACTGAATCAGGCTGATTATCCTCTGTCACATCACTCTTACCAGACTCTAGATCTTCAGCATGCAGTAAAGGACTTGTTTCTTCGGGCTTCTGGTTTAATCCACTGGCTGGAGTTCCATCAGATTCTTCTGCATTCTGGGTTCAGGATAAGAAGTACGCTATAAATTCTTAAACATTTTCAGTAATTGTAGACAATAATCTGATATGGCAGCAGCTTTTCCAGCAAATGACCAAATTTAAACTACAAAACTTGTTTTTGGTTTTCATTACGAAAAGTTTTTTCATGTCGAATGTTTACATTTTTTTATTTCTTTTGGAGAAATCGACTCTGTTGATGAAAATAATATTTGCAGGATTAAAAATCAAATGTAGGTATCAGCATGTACTGTAGTGCCTGATTGAAATCAGCAAAGGGATAATGCCCACTGCAAAATTCTGTAGTATACACACTACACCAAATAAAATTAAGGCAGTGTTGAAGTTAATGAGATGATTAATTGAATATTTAGGTGATGATTATTAGTGATAAACAACAGATGCTTTAACAAGCAGAATCACTCAAAGATGATAAGGAAAGAAATAAAGAGAAGAGACAAACAGAAAAACTGCTAAAACTGATTCCCATCACAGCCTTAGATTAGGTCAAATAAATAAGACATTCATTTATTCTTAACTCTGAGGTTTAAACAATCTCACAATCTGAATTGCCATCTTTAATTATAAGAATTCTAGTAGTATGAGATTGTAATGATTACCACGATGCATCGCTTCACTTTATTTATAAATAATTATGGGAAAATAAACAGACAATTTAATGCTTTAAAATCTTGGCAGAATTTTATACTCTTAAACACATCAGATGGAAGCTGTGTTTTACTGCATTTAACTTTTGCACATGTCTGAGTATCAGCTTTCACAGCACTGCAATATCACTAAAACAACAAAATCACCAAGACACCTTTATTTTCTTTACAGTATATTACAAGATTAGACTTTCAGTAATAGAATTTTAAAAAATCAGTAATAGAATTTAAAAAAATACTTTCTTTCTGTGTATTTTTAACATGCATTTTAAATATCAAAAACACATGGTTTCTCTATTTTAACTAGGATTTATTAATGCTTTGTTTTTTTCTGCTAGTACAGTTGAAAGCAGAAGTTTACATACACTCTAAAAAAAAGAACATAACTATTTTTTTAAATGTCTAATGGTAAGTTGTCCTAAATGTTTACTATTTTAGGTCCGTTAGGATTACCTAAATGATTTACATTTGCTAAATGCTAGAAAAATGAGAGAATTTTTTTTTTAGAGATTTTTTTTATTAATTTCTAGACAGTCAAAAGTTTATATGCATTTCCTTGATATTTTTTTAACTTTGCTTTTAAACTGTATAACTTTGTTCAAATGTTTTGGGTATCCTTCTACAAGCTTCTCACAATAGTTTGCAGGAGTTTTGGCCCATTCCTCTCAACAGAATTGGTGTAACTGACTCATATTTGTTGTCTTGTTCACACAAGATTTTTCAACAATGCCCACAAATTTTCTATAGGATTAGGATCCGGGCTTTGTGATGGCCACTCCAAAACATTAACTCTGTTGTCCTTAAAGCACATTTGAACTGATTTGGCAGTATGCTTAGGGTCATGGTCTGTTTGGAAGCCCCATTTGTGGCCAAGTTTAAATTTCCTGGCTGATGTCTTGAGATGTTGCTTCAGTATTTCTACATAATGTTCTTTCTTCATGATGCCATCTATGCTGTGAAGTGGACCAGTCCCTCCTGCACAGGCCCCGCGCTACGGGGGGCCAAAGAGGGGCATTGCCCCCTCAGAAAGAAGTTTTTAAAATATATGACATAGCAATTAAATTATGAAAATTGTGAAATTAAAGCTAGGCCTAGTCCAGAGATCTGATCCCCGCGTCAGGTCAGGTGAATAAGCCCGTAAATAGCCTTTAAAATGCGCACACTGCGATGGAGGCGCACTAAACTCACAAGGGAGAAAAGTGGGTGACATGAGACGAGCAGCTTAATTCATTAGTACATGTTTTGGTTAACTAATTCTTTAAACACAACACAGTAGGCTACACTATAAATAATATTTTAATTTATTCATTAATATTATTACAATTAAGCTAAAATTGACAAAACGCAGAATCCTTTTTTGCTTTCATTTTGACATTAAGTGCACTTTTACAGTTGTGTAGAGAAACATCCCATTATGCACCAGCAGTCAAGGTATAACACTTAATAAATGCCTTTTGCGTTTAAAGATGATCGGCCTCAGAATGTTATATTCTCAGAATGTTCTCTGTAGGTTATTTGTTGGTATTATTTTCGTAACACAGAACCTTCCCAGAACGTCCCCTCTAGGTTTTATTTAGGGTTTTTTTCATAACCTTGAGAGAACCTTCCCAGAACGTTCCCTCTAGGTTTTATTTGGGGTTTTTTTCATAACCTTGAGAGAACCTTCCCAGAATGTTCCCTGTAGGTTAATTTTGGGATTTATTTTATAACCAAAAGAGAACTTTCTCAGAACGTTGCCTATAGGTTATTTGTTGTTTTTTTTTCATAACATATAGAAAACCTCCTCAGAACGTTCTGTGTAGGTTATTTTCATGTTTTATTTTATAACCAAGAGAACCTTCCCAGAATGTTCCCTGTACGTTATTTCTGTTTTATTTTCATAACCTAGAGAGAGCCTTCCCAGATCGCTTTTATTATAGTACACACAAACACCCATGTGTGTTTTTAAATAATTATTATTTATTTATTTTTTGTTTCTGGACTTTGGATCTGTAATATAATTTGATGATTTATTATTTTATTTAAAAATATTTAGTAATGTCATTTAGATATAATAATTTATATGCGTCGTCAACGTCCTGTCACTCACACGCCAACTCCAGCTTCATGATGTCGTCGGCCAGCTGCGCTAATCAGGTAGGTTTATCAGTTGTTAATTTGTTTAATTACTACTTTACAAAATGTTTACAGCTAAAAAAGTGTAAAACTGTGAAATTTTATAAGGACTTTGAAAATATTGTTTAATTTGTTAATTTGCCTCTGTACTCTGTTTTTTATTTTATTTTATTTATTTATTTACTTTTGTACTTGATGTCATCCATTGTTAAGATTAATATGTTTGTATTGTTAAAACACAATAAAAAAAATAAAAAAAATAAAAAAAGGTTTATCAGTTGTTTTTTGATTTCGTTATTTACGACTTTTTCAAAATCCTTGTGAATTTGTTTCATAAACCTAAATTATAATACCGAATGTAAAGGTTAATGAGACTTTTAATCACATTGTACGGTACTTGCTATTTAAAAGCAAACGGTAATTTATAACGGTCAACTCGTTACGTTAGCCACTTCAGAGTCCGTTTTCTGAGGCTATATTATCTTCTACAACCACACAAATCTATTAACCTAAACCATTTTACAGTCATAATGGTGTTAGTTTGATTTATTGTTGAACTACTCTTTAACCAAACTTTCGAGGTGGCCATATATGCTGGTATATTTTAGAATGGCAACGTGATTACAGTAATGTTATCTGTAACGTTATCAATAAACGCACTGACATTTAACCAAATTCGCTCAGATATTCAGAAGTATTTACAAAGGCTAAACAGATAATATTAGGACGTAATTAACATCATCTCTTTTTGTAGGCAAAGTCTAGGCTTTTGTGACAAGCTGGGAGAAGAGAGACTCATTGGCCTTGTATGTAAAGGTTTGACACACACACACACACACACACACACACACACACACACACACACACACACACACACACACACACGTGAATTTATGGTTTATAAGAAACCTTCATAGACATAATTATTTCTAATGTACAGATTATATATTATATCCTGTAAACCCAACCAAGTAATGTCATAATTATATTAAAGTTCATTTAAATAATGGAAAGAAATGTTAAAATCTTGTTTTTATATTGACTTAAAAAGTCTCTCTGAATGCATTACTCTCCTTATCATCGTGTGCATTGTCAGATATCATTGCACGTTCTCAAATGTTTAGGAGTATACCACAAATAAAAGCTGAATCAGCTGATGAAGATCTCCAGTGTTACAACAATCTGCCAGGTACAGTAGTGTGTTACAGCAAATCCCTGCAAGATAGCGTAGCATGAGCTTTCAAGTTTGAGAAACCCTTCGATATTGATTAGCCAGTAATCACTGTTGGATTATTAAACCTTTTTTAAAACAGTATTTTTTTTCTTCATTTCCATGGCTCTTGGTAAGCTAGTTGAAGCACATTTCCGAATTTTTCATTGTCAATTTTAGTCAGTAATAATAATTTGTTTTGGGTCAATTTTTCATTTTCACAATCAGTGCACAGCCCCGGAGTCGGATTGACCTCCTCCAGACCCAAACATGTGGGTTATGTACAATATTTAAATCATATTTATTAATCTTTTCTTTTTTTCACTTCTAGATAAACAAAGATCCATCCAGGCACAGGTTGCTGCATTTTTTTGATGTACATACAGGTACTTTTTACACTGATGTTCATAAACATATTTAATATAAGAATAACTTGTATTTAAATCTAATTAAATGATTAGTTCATAAAATTTTTTAGATTACGCTATTAATTTCTCATCTTTGTTTCATTCCAAACATTTGTTCATCTTTAGAACACAAATTATGATATTTTAGATTAAATCTAAGAGCTCTCTCATCCTCCATAGACAGCAAGGTTCCAGTTTCAAAATCCAGAAAAGGAACCCAAACAAATCCTCAGACAATATGCCTTCAGTGGTTCAATCAAAATATTATGAAGCTATGAGAATACGTTTATGCACACATAAAACAAGAATAATAACTTTATTGAACAGATTCTTCTCCTTTACTTAATAATATTCAGTTTGAACCACTGAAGGCATACAGTCTGTTTTAAGAGTTTTTTATTGCCTTTTCTGGACTTTTGAGTGTCTCTGAACCCTTGCTGTCTATGGATGAGGGAGTCTCAGATTTAATTTAAAATAACATAATTTGTTCAGAATATTAACAAAGGTCTTGGGGGTTGGGACAGCATTAGGTTGAGTAATTATTAACAAATATTTTTTAATTTTTTTTTTAGGTGAACTAATGTAATAATGCAACAATTT